GTTTGGGAATCCTATGGCTAAGTCCTTTCCTAACTACCTCAAGGTATGACAATGGATGGTTCATCTTTGTTATAGGTGGGCAGGTCAAGGTTAGAATGATGTTTTGGATTATTGGGGAATTGGGTCCCATGATTTTTTTCCCAAGGGTGACTACTCATAGGGCTACTATGTGGTTTGGCTTAAAGAATGGCACGAAAGTGGTCCCTAAATGGCTTGGGTGGTACTTACTTTCCCCTTGGGTCTTCTTCTTTGCTTGATGGCTGATGGTGGGTGTGAACGTTGCTACTGGAGTGTTGGGGACGGCTCAATGGGCTAATGTTTCATGCTGGCATCGATGTTAGCTTTAGAAGTGGCTTCTTCAGTTGTGGGTGTGGAGGTCTTCTCTGTTGCATACTTGTTGGCTTCGAATAGGGCTTCATCATGGAAAAGTTGTAATGATAATACTTGCTTCCTATGGACCCTAGTGAAAGTCAGGACTAGTACCCTGCATGGGGGGCATTTGACTAAGATGCATAATGTATTGATGTGAGGCATGAGGGCTGCTTTCGCCTACATCAAGAAATCTATTCCAAAACAACTTGAAAATCATCTAAGGTACCACTGATAACTTAATTTTGCTTGTCCAAGGTACAACTTGGAGATCAACCCCACAGGCCATGCCTTTAATAGCCTTGGCACCAGAGTTTACAGCCTTGAGCCACCTTGTCTCCTTGGCAATGTTCAGGTTAAGTCGCCTGGCCTCGATGACCAAAATGAAGCTATGGGAGGCCCCTATATCAATGAGGGCCTGAGTCGACTTTCCACCAAGGATAATGTCTACATATTCAGCCCCTTTTGGGCTTTCTTAGGCCGTTTAGGATTGACCTCTTTCTTCACCATGGTGTTAAAAAGTTAATGGGTGCCCACTCTTGGCGCCTACTCAGATTTTTCCTCATTATCATTGAGCTTGGTAACAAGGTCATTGATCTTCTTCCTTGTTGGGCAGTCACGAACATAATGCTTTTCTCCATAGATAAAGAAAGAACATGGGGGCGGGTCCAGTGGTTCTAGGCATGTAGTTGTGTTGGTGACCTTGATCTTCTTGTGGCTTTTTCCTATAGTCTTGGCTGGCTGGATTATTGAAGTTTGAGTTGTCATGAGGAGGGCATGATTGATTTGCTCCCCCACTCGAGTTCAAGGCACGTAGGCTAGTTGGCTTGGGGACTTCTTTGTTTGACAAGCTTATCTCGGTGAGTTGCTCTACCACAACCATTGCGGTGGCAAGGTTACGGCGTTGGAGCTCCAATTCTGTCCATAGCTTCAGTCCATCCATGAAGTTGAATAATAAATCCTTGTCGGACATGTCCGAGATCTCCAGGGTAAGGGCTGAAAACTCTCTGACGTATTCATGGAATGAGTCTCTGTGCTTGAGTCTCTTCAACTTTTTTCAGGTTAGGTACTCAATGTTCTCTGGATAAAATTGCCGCTTCAGTTCTCTCTTGAAATCAGCCCATGAGTTAATGGTACACATGCCTCATTCAATGTCTTGGCATCACCTACGCCACTACAAAATAACAATATCAGTCAAATACATGGTTATAGTACGAACTTGAGCCGTATCATCATTAATGCCAATAACAAGGCAATATTGCTCCATTTGCCACAAGAAGTTGTCAAGTTCTTGAGCATCTCGGGAACTGGCATAGGGTGTGGGCTCTTGAATCTTCACGCAAGCAAGGCCCAATGTTGTGGAGGGGCTAGGAGTATTGGCCATTGCTCTCTTTAGGAGTGTCATATCTCCTCTTATGTCATCTAGTTGTGCCTGGAAGTCCATAGGAGTGGCCATGGGAGCTTTCATGGCCACCCTCTCTTTCTTGATTTCTTCTAATTGTGCTTGAATGGCTATAGGAGTAGGCATGGCTCCCTTCCATGTTGACCACTTAGCTTTCATCTCATCAAGTTGGTCTTGTATGCTGAATTGTCGGGAGTTCCCTTCTTGTTGGGATGATGTGTCAAGAACTTCCTTGAGGGTGCCATTTAATATGTCTTGGACATCGTTTAAGATGCCATTCAAGCGTAGTTCTAGCTCCACCATGGAGCTCTCGATAGTCTCAACATTAAGGTGGATTTCTTCTACACGATTACACATTTCCTAAACTGTAAACTCACAATGAAGGATGCAGGCGTCAAAGGCAGCAAGCTTGTTAACCAATTTATCATGCTTGCTTGATTTGGATATGTGGCCCTTTGGGGCCTTCTCTACAATGGCTTCATTGCTTGGTGCCTCATCAGTCTCTTGGGCCTGGGTAAGGCCATGTTGTATCTCATTGGTGAGTTCTCGACTATACTTCATTGTGCCACCACTAGTGTCGTTGTGCAAGGGTCACAATGTGTTGAAGAGCAACCGGTTTTGGTACCAACTGTCATGGGGATAGTCGATGAGGCTTTGTGCGGTGTTCGATTGAGTCGAGTAAGCCTACGAATGCAAGCAACAACACACAAAAGGCACACACATTAGTCCAAAGAGTGAATTAAGCTTTTGGGGGAGTGACAGAAAGAAACATCAAAATGGTGACAAATCATATTAAATAATTACAATAATGTCATTGGCATTCCCCCTGCCCATACAAATACATAGATAGCCCACCCATGACACACACACAATGATGCTTTGAAGGCATGATAAGGGCATGATGGATGGTGCATGTTGGTGCATTGAAGGAATCACTTGTGACTACATGGCATTTAACCTAAAACAAGGAAGAGGAAGAAAGTAGCATGAATGATCAAATAAAGTAGGCCCGACCTGAGTTGACCTGCCATAGCCTGGTTCCCTAGGCTTAGCCCGACACAACCTAGCACAACTAGGAACCAGGCCTAATCTAAGGAGGGGGATCGTGCTACCCAAGCACGACCCACCAAGGCCGAGGCCCAACATAGCACGGCATGGATGGCGTTCAAGCTGCCTACAATTTATGTTGTGCTAGATGAAACAACCCACATTAAAAGTCTACAAATGACGGAATAATAGAAGCTGGACTAAAGTCACACTTTTTGAAAGTTCAAATTGTTTAAAAATCAGTTCTTAGGCCCAACCTAAAACCATATGCATTTGACCCTATCATAGAAAAATGAAGCATGGACAAGAGTTTCATTACTACTCTCACATCTAAAACAACAATGGGATTGAACAATATTTCTTTTAAAAAGATTTCCCTTAATTGAAAATGTAGCCTTTTTTTTACAAAACCAAGAAGGGTTACATAAGACAAAGGGTATCACATCCCCACAAATTAGAGAAACAAATAAAAGCTAAATTCCAAGGAAGCTTACTAAGATTGAGACAAACAGATCCTTGACGTGAAGAAAGAGTTTGATTGGTAAGCCAGCTCGCTGTTTGATAGGTTTTGTAATTTACCACTCTTCCAAAAAATTTCTTGCAATGACCGCAAATTTTGATGTTTCTAATTTTTGGAGGTTGCCACAAGATATACTTCCACATCTTTTGTTGATTGTCTTTAGTGGGTTTCATGCTAACTTCAAATGTTTCCATGTAAGATGATTGAGTTCTATGTATCACCACTTGGATAGGGGTTGACACATTGTTCAAAGTTTTCTCGTTTTTACTTTTTCGGGTATTCCATAGTATGAAAACACACTTTTCCCTCTCATTGCATTCTCCAATCAAGTTCTTACAAAATTTCATCCACCACTCCTCAAGAGAAGAATCTAAATTTTTTGGCCCTTTAACAGTGGGATTAATCACACCCCAAATTTGTTTTGCTACTATACAATTTTTAAATATATGATCTAAGTCCTCATTTTTCCTGCAAAAAACTATAACCTCCATCAACATTAAGTCCTCTATTCCGAAGGTGAATTTTTTGTTGGGAGTCTTTTATTAAGAAGAATATAAAGGAATACCTTCAATTTAGGGGGGTAGTTTAACTTCCAAACATTCAAATTCCACTTCATGGTCATCCCTTCATGTAAAAACATGCTACATTTCAAGTTATAATCTGACTTGATTGAGAACTTTCCGTTAGAGTTTAGTCTCCAAAGAATTTTATCCATTTTGGTCAAAAGGGATAAAAATTGATTTTATTTTCCCCCTAAATATTTAAAGGGATTAGGTTACATATTTTATTTCCCATCCATACTTTCCTATTCTAATCTATAACCTCACTAATAAGGAGATTATCATTATCAATCCTATCTGGGGGATGATTTGATCCAAGGGAACATCTATATCCCATCTATCCTTCCAGAATCTTATAGATTTTCCATTATCTATTTCCCAACCTAATCTCTTATTTAGAAGATCTCTACCCTTAAGGATTCCTCTTCATGTCCAAGATATGCCTTTCTTCTCTTTTACATTCCAAAAATACTTTGCTTTAATAGCCTTAATCCAGAGATTATCACTCTCAACTAAAATTTTCCAACCCAACTTAGTTAAGTTAGCCTCATTGACCCATTGAAGAGTCTTTAGCCCTAGCCCCCCTAGCATTTTGGAGTGCATACCCTTTTCCAACCAATCAAATGGATCGGCTTTCTTTAATTGGAATTTGTCTATAGGAAGTCTCTTCGACTTTTATCTAATTAATCTATGATGTTTTGGGGAAGTTTGAACGATCTCATAAGGAATTGATGCATCATATTTGTAATAGCATTCAAAAGTGTTAATCTACCTGCCAAGGAGAGAGTGTTCCTCTTCCAACTTGCTAGCTTATTGTTAACCTTTTCCTTCATATTCAAGAATGTGTTCTTTGTAACTTTGCCATTTATTATAGGGGACCCCAAACCCAAATAAATATCTAATTTTGCTTGAATTGGAATCTTCAAAATTTTAGCCAAAATTTTTTGGAAGCTATTTAGAGTATTTTTGGAGAATTGGAGTTTTGACCTATTGCAAATGTAGCTTTGACCTTTGAGGGGTATACCGTATATGACAAGATGATCATGGGCCGGGCTGGGCTTGTATAGTTTAAGGAGCTTAACCTAGGCCCGGAGGCCCAACCTCTACCATTTCATGCTCAGGTAATTCTCACATGGCAGTTACATCGCAGAAGATTCGGGGCGTACGGCGGCACGGGCAGCTTCTGTTTCGTCGTCGATGATCCATCTTTGAACTGAACGCTCTTTCAGAGCCGGCTCTTTTGAAACTCTCTTTATCTCAACCCTCCCTCCTAACAGCTATTACCAGAGATTTTGAAAACATTAAGCTCAACGTCGGCTTCTATCTTGAAGGTCAGTTTCTGTTCGTATAAAACCCCTCCACCTCTGGTTTGCTCTTTCCTGTATGTGCGAAACCCCTATTTACTACCGAACAGCGTCATTATCATAAAGGGCTTATCCAACTTCCATTGTAAAACCCCTGATTTGGCTTAGTTTCAGAAAGTTCATTCTTTCTTTTTCCCTGTGTAATGAGGCTAAATTATTTTCTAATTTATTGTATTTCGTTTTTCCTCATTTAATTTCTTCTCGGGTTCTTAGTTTGCCGTTATTTGAACTCCATTACTATTGAACTGGACCTCGACAGCTCTCCTGTTTGTAGTAAGCTGAACTTCATCAAATGCTTTCGAACTGTTTGAAGCAATGAATTTTAGAGGAATTCCAACCTTGTATTTTTAGCGCTGCCGCATTAAGTAGATATCATACTTGTTCTTTTCATTCTTATATGCAAATTGGTAAAATACAAATCCATAACCACTTAAAACTGGAAGAAACATGTGGACGTAGCAGAAAATTCTGTCAGATGGATTTTTTATTATGCCCTCAAATTCCAGGACTTGTGAATTGGTTCCGTTACACCATATATATCGTGACGGTTGAATATGAATTTTTTCTTTGTCATTCTGTATTCTATTCTCATTCATGTTTATGGTTTTTCATTGTAGTTGCTGTTTATAATGCCCAACAAGTGCTTTTCACATGTCGGGCCTGACTAGTGTTCACAAAAGAAAGGGAAGGGAATCTACATTGCACGGAATTTATTGCTCTTACTAGTTGCTACTTCACTCTGCTCACCCGCTTCATTCATCTAAATTTCAAACTTTTACAGTCATGGCATCAATTACATCAAAGTTGTATTCAGGTCTGTCTCTCTTTCTCTTCCTCCCTACATCCCTCCATTCTTCCATAAATTTCCCTTGTATTGTCTCTCTCGTCAGAAAAATTATCTTATCTTTTGTTTTTGTAGATGACGTTAGTCTTCTTGTGGTTCTACTCGACACCAACCCTTTTCTCTGGAGCGGGGAAAACACCACCACCAATTCGCTTTCCTTCCCCAAATTCCTCACTCATGTAAGATTTTTACGTTCCACTTAAAAGAAAAAAGATCTAATTTTTCTCCTTAAAAACCCTAAAAACTTTTTTTTAATATTTCTGTGAGCAGGTCTTTTCATTTCTGAATTCCATTCTCCTCCTCAATCAACTCAATCAAGTGGTAGTTATTGCCACTGGGCTCAATTCTTGTGACTACATTTATGATTCCTCATCATCGCCCACAACTGTAGAGAGTTTGGAGAATGGGAGAATGCCTGCACTTTGCTCCAAGTTGCTGCAGAACTTGGAGGAATTTCTGGCTAGAGATCAAGAGTTGAACAAAGACGAGTCACCACCTGGGATTGCATCCTCATTGCTGTCAGGATCATTGTCTCTGGCCCTTTGTTGTATCCTTTATGATGGTTAACTTTTCTTTTTGGTCTGTGTTCTAATATTAATGCACATCTGAGTGTGTTGGATTGACTTGTTGAATAGATATACAGAAGGTGTTCCGTTCTGGACCGCTTCATCCTCAGCCTAGGGTGAGGTTTCTATCTTATGCTACAATTGATGCAAAGACCTTCATGTTGTGGGCTTTGAACGTATTGAATTGCTAATACTTTATCCAGCATTTCTTTAACATGATACTTTGCACAGAAATCATTAATGAAAACCCAAAACTAGAAATAGAATATCATAGATGGTGCTTAGTTGGAATAAATCACTTCCTGTTAACATTGAAAAAATGGTCTTTTATGTTTGGCACTCTAAAACTTCAGGTTTGGATAAGTTTCTCATCCTATTCTATAAAATTTCTGGATCTGGTGGGGGAGGATGCTGTACAGGCAACATAGGCATAATTTCAGTTCGAATATTGGCTTTGAAAAGATCAACCATGCTAAGTGATTGGGATTGCATCTTTCTTCCGGCATCATAGTTGAACCCCATAGGGTTATTTGCGGCAGATAACCTCTGGAAAGAGGTTATCTCAATAGAGCCACTGTTAAGAGTCCCCATCTCCTCTATGCTGTCAACCTTGTCCCTTTATCCATGCCAGTAATCTCAATCACCATTTTAGTTATTCATATAAGTAAGATTTTTTCTGAATTTTTGTGGAATTCACCATCTCATTATTGTGCATCCACTCAGTTCTTCCTCTAACATGGAACTTACTTCCTACCAAACTATTTTATATCCTGAAACTAAAAGTTCTGCCCCCTTTGCCATCATTTCAATATATTATTGGTTATGCTAAAATATTCCCTCATCCCACCTTATGATGTAGGATGGTCTTAGAATGATTAATCCACCGAAATTATAATAATGAAAAAATAGAAAATCAAAAGTGCAGTATAAAAGAAGGTAGTTAGAGGAGTTAAACCTTTCTTCCGGAATCAAGTATGGAATCACTTCAGATTCAATATGAGGTCTTTATGGAGTCACACTAAAGATACCGATAAAAGAAATGGAGTCACACAGAAGGGAAAAAAAATTGAGCATCACAACTAAAAACCAAAAGGCATACTTTTATTCTCAATCTCATCATTCTCCTTATAAACAGTATTATGGGCCTTTACAGACTTATTTTCCTAATCTAATGACTCCTAATCATTTTCTAACTCATACCTACAGTTGGAACCACTTCAAAGTTGACCAAAACTCCTAGAACACTTTCTAATACTTGATGTTTTGACCCATTGTAAGTTTGGAATGAATTTTTGATGAGGAAACAACTATAAAACAAATACCCACCAAAATGAATCTTAAAACTATTAAAATATTAATTAAAAAACTTGAATAATCCAAAAAATTAAGATCTCACCACAGACTTGTTAGTTGCTTGTAAATCAACCATAAGTCCCTGAGTTGATATCCAAATTTGTCCAAATGTGGTCTTGTTATAGGTTATTAAATAACTTACCTAATGAGATCAAAATTAAGTAATGGACAAGTTTTGACCCTTCAAATTTAGGCTGCAACTTGAGTGACAAACCTGAGATAGTTCTCTTTGGTTTTGAGTTGAAGCCTAAGTAAATCATAACTTTGAATATCACTCCCTTAGCATCCCACATCACCTTAGTTAGCATCAAGTATGTTGGCTGAAATATTGTGAGCAAATTACTAGTTCTTTTGAAGGTTTTGAAGGTGTCTCCTTCATCCTTTACTCATTTATGCTGTTCTAGATAGTGTCACTCAATGATAGGGGATACTTCGTGAACCCACAAAACAAATTGTGCCATGAGAAAGAGTGCCTTTCATCCTTGCCAATTTGAATTATATGTAGCTGTTGAGATGCTTCCTATGGTTGTGTTCCTTGAGATCTGGTCCTCTTGTCACCTATAGGCATGGAAACCCAACCTCTTCCAAGAACATTTACTAATGTTTGCTCACCAAGTCGCCATCTTCCCTACTGATTTTTTATCTGAGTTGCATCAATTGGTGGCAGTGTTTTAAAAGCGCAAGGGGCATTTTGCGCCTGAGGCATAAGGGACTCTTTGGACTGTGTAAATGTAAAATTAGCTTGGATTCCTAGGGAACTAAATCATATAGCAGATGGCTTAGCCAAATGTGGTGTGTTTTTGGACCAATTATACAGCGACAAGCTTCCTCCACCTCTTCTTTCTTTAATAAAATCAGGTTAAATTCTTCTAAAAAAAAGGTGTAAGGCGAGGTGTGCCTTTTTGAAGCAAGGTGCAAAGATGCAAAAAAATAAAAAAATAAAAAAATAAAAAATAAAAAATAAAAATGCAAAAAATATTGAACATAATATTAATTAAAAATATAAACTTAAATTTTAAAATAAATGTTTAAAAAAACATATTATCTCTAATTATAATACATAAACATAACGTATAAAACATATTCAAAATGAAAATTTAGAAATAAAATCAAACATAACATATAAAACATATTTAAGCATGTAAAACTTTCAATCTCTATATTTTTTTTCCAATTGCATTATTTCAAATAGCTAATGTGATTTTTTTTTTGGTAGAAAATAGCTAATGTGATTTAGAACATATAAAACATATTCCACGAGTTGCTTTTGTACCAAGCTCCTTGAGGCAAGTCCAAATAAGTCCATGTTAGGGTCTTACATTCTTAATCCCTACAAAGAAAAAAATGATTTTATTTAATTGTCTTTTAAAAATATCTTTTATTGGAGCTATTTGCTAATGTTGTTCATTCATTTATCCTAATAAAAGATATTTTTAAACATTCATAAAAAATAAAAGATATTTTTAAAAGACAATTAAAATTATAAAATTGTTTTTCTTGTAGGGAGTAAGAATGTAAGACCCTAATATGGACTTATTTGGGCTTGCCTCAAGGGGCTTGGTCAGGGGTTTGGGAGTGGAGCTTCCGGTCCAGACACTAGGCTTAAAAAAGAGAAAAATGTACAAATTTTGAAAAGGTTCATGCCTGGCTGAAGTGTTGGGTGCACCAGATGCACGCCTTTTGAAAGTGCCGTACCTATGTGCTTAGGTGTGTGCCTTTTATATCATTGATTTGTGGTATTCTTGGACTTGATGTTTCCACATGATTTAAAGTGTAAGTCAATCTCTTCTATGTTATTTGCTATATGGAATAAAAGGAGATAAAGCTAACCCATGGTTTTTACATATACATTACAACTTACAAATCATTGTATACCTTTTATTTGATTAGAATAGCTGTAACTATTTCTTCTAGGTGATATATTATTAGAAATTTAGAATAACTTTAGCTATATGTGGCAAGTGAAAACATTATAACTTGTTTTCTGTATTTAATTCTGAATTGATGATCAATGCCTGTAGTTTAACCATTGTCAACCCTTTTCCTAACATGCAAAGACAGATTTTATGCCTGCAGGGATCCTCAGATGGACCTGAACAGTACGTTGTACTCGATTGTGTTATGGACCATTTTCAGCTTTATTTTTCAGTTGAGCTTGTCTGAATTTTGAACGAAAAATCTTGGCAGATATGTTGCAATAATGAATGCAATATTCTCGGCCCAACGTTCCATGGTATTGTATACATGATGAGGACTTGGTTATATTGGACACTCTATTGATATATTTCAGTTTTAGCTGAACTTAGGAAGCTAGAATTGTTTTGAGTTCAATTTTTCTGTTTTTTTTTTTTTTTTAATGTTCTACAATTTTTTCTTTTGAGGATTTGCACTTGACAGCTTATTTTTCCCCCTTGGGTAGATGGATCCAACTCTTAAGACATACTCTACCCAATACCCACATCCCTAGCTTTGTGACATGGTATGAATGTAAGAATCTAATGGGTGGATTTTGAGGACCTTATTTTTTGGTAAAATATTCTGAGGACCTGACATTGTAAGTTTTTTGGTGGGGATTGTTTTATGCTTGGAAACCTGGTGAAGAGAACAACCATAGGAATTCAATAAGTAGGCAAAGATTATTTGATTTTAGTGGGTTATATACCTATAGACAAGGGTGAGACGGGTATATAAGTGTGACTATGTTGTTTCTGCCACCTTAAAACTTCCCATTGGTTTGAGACAAACTATTCTTTATGTTTAACTTTAACATATATCGACAAGGCAAGAAAAGTACATAAGAAAATCCAGAAGTGTTGCACCATAATCTGTGGGATATTTGAACTAGAAATATGTGCAACATGGAGCTTCTTTTTAGTAGAAGAGTCCATGCAGCATAACCATGGACTTGTTCATCTCTACTGAAGCTGCAATATACACAGATTTTTTATCATTGATAAAGTCCTCTCTTGGTTGTGAAAATTTACCAGGCACATTTGTTTATGGACATTTTCTTCAAATTGTATCTACATCTCTTTTCTCAATCTGCAGGTTCCTATTGATGCATGTGTTATAGGGGCCCAACATTCTGCCTTTCTGCAGCAGGTGGTTATGTGAAAACTATTTTTTGTTTGTTTTGTGTGTTGTGTGTCTCTGGTCTTTATTGACAACTTTTGATGGGCATTATTGCAATAGGCTTCTTACATAACAGGGGGCGTCTATCTGAAGCCCCCACAACTGGATGGATTGTTTCAGTATCTTTCGGTATGTCTTTCGGGTTTTATGCTTCTAGTTGCCTATCTAGTTTTTATGGTGCTTACTTTTCCCCCCTTTTCTACAATTTGTTGATGTTGAAACTATTGTTTTGTTATATACAGACTGTATTCAGCACTGATTTACAGTCCCGCAGCTTCTTACAACTTCCCAAGCCTGTGGGAGTGGACTTTCGTGCCTCGTGAGTTGCTCTTCACCTCTTCTGTGATAATATTTTCTCCTTTTGGATTTCATGCATGTGGATTTCCTTGTTTCTTCATTATCTTTTAGTTAGGGAAATTAGGGGTGGGGCAGAGCAGGGTGCATCTGAGGTCCACTGATCATACCACAGAGAGCCTACAGTTATGTGAATTTGATCCTGTGCCTCCTATTTGGAGGGGTGCCAAGTGAGCATCTTGACAACTGGGTCATCAGTGGTTTGGATTTGATCCAACAGATTTTATCTTTGAGTCTGGATTTTATGCTCCTTATAGTCATATCTACTCATGCTTTCCATGGGACTGTAAAGGAGAACCTGTGGAGGAGAATCATATGTTGCAACTATGAAAGGACTACACTTGATTGGGAGACATTACTGTCCCACAACACCTATGTGTCAAACATTTGGAGGGGCATTATGCAAAACAGAAAATTGTTCTCTCAATACATCAATTTCAAACCAGGGAGTGACAAGCATTATTTTCTCTGGATTGACATTTGGTGTGACAAGGCCTCTGAATGCGGCATATCCTGCACTTGTACATTGCTCAAAACAAGCAGGCTGCAATAAAGGAATGTTATGAAGTTAGGGTGGACAGATTGGATACCTTATTTGAAATGTAATTTAAATGTATTGATAAAAAATGTAATTTCCATGATAAGGAAGCAGATTCCCTAATCACTTTCAGAAAATCTAAACAATTATCTTATCTAGAGAAAGGACAAGTAGGGGGATCTGTTTTGGGTGGCTTTGTAAGGGTTTATTTCAGATTGTTAGGGAAAACTTGTCTTAAATTTATCCTTTGTAATTCTTATGTATTAATTAATGAAAGTTATTTTTTCTTATAAAAAAAAAGAAAAAAAAAACTAGACAGGTATTATGTCAAAGTGGATATCCAAGATGAGAGATTTTGGTAGACAAATAGGTTACATGCATTCTTTATTTGATCTTTTTGTGAATCTTTGGAGGGCCCAGCAGAAGATGCCCTTGCAGGTGGATATGAAAGGTCCATGTTCCCTCCAAAGTCTTCTACTTTGGATAAGTTTTTTTTTTTTTTTTTTTTTATAAGAAACAGTAACTTTCATTAGATAATTGAAAAGATTACAGGCTTACCACCTACAAAATGGATGGAAAAGAAAATAAAAAACTTACAAACAGGCCCAAAACAAAGCCTCCCTAGTAATTCCTTGCTTAGCTAAAGTGTCAGCCATTCCATTTGCCGATCTTCTTACCCAATTAAAATGCACTCCAATCTCCCTTGCTAAGTTAATAACCTCTCTTAGAGGCTGTCTAAGAGACACACTCTCAGGTTTCCAGTTCGCATCCACCCTATTACCAGCTTGGAGTCTCCTTCCACTTCTAATTGCTGCATTCCCCATTGTTTCACCAGTTTCAAACCTTGAAGTAAGGCCATTATTTCTGCCCTTAATGAATCTCTCACCCCAATTGGGTCCAAGTAAAGGGCCAAGACTTTTCCTTCCTCGTTTCTGTACACACCCCCAACTCTTGACTGACCTGGATACCTAAGGAGCTTCCATCAAAGTTTAGCTTCACCCTGAATTGAGGCGGTGGTACCCAACAAACTTGTACCATAGGGGAGGAAGGCTAGGAAATAGCTATAGCACTGCAATTTCTAATTAAGTCCACTGAGGAGAAATCCTTGAAGAGATGATGTACTTTCAGCCAGTGCATAACCTTGATGGTGACAACCTCCACAAGTGCTTCCTTGGATTTTTCTTGCCCTAGGAAGATCCTATTGTTTCTCTCTTCCCAAATTGACCATAGGATGGCAGCTCTTGTTATTCTCCACATTACCCTGCCCCTTTTCCTTGGTTGTTGGAAGAAGTTAGAGTCAAAAAGGTTCAGCACACCCGGAGGGGGGATCCATCTGTAACCAAACAAAGAAGAGAACCAATCCCACAAATAATAAGCAAAAGGACAAGAAATCAAAAGATGAGTCACCATCTCACCATTTCTTAAGCAAAGGTAACAAACATGTGGGGAAAGGCTCTAGTTTGGCCTTTTTCTTTGAAGTACATCCATAGTTCCATAGTATTGATCTTTTGAAGAGCCACTTCCCAGCAAAAAGCCCTAACCTTTGGCAGCACAAGAGAATACCAGATTTCTTTAGCAGGAAAAGAGACAGACACAGAAGAAGACTGAACTAAGGTGTTGAAAAAAGATGAACAAGAGAAAGTCTCTGAAGAGGACTCTTTCCAAATTCTACTATCTGGGCAGGAAAGATCTAGGAAAACTGAATTCAACACAGTGGTTAACTCATCTGCAAAAGCCAATTCCGAATCCCTTAACCCTCTTCTCAAACCCAAATCCCAAGTCCCCTCAGACACATGAAGTGAGGAGATGGTTTTGAATTTATTTAGGGAAAGAGAATACATTACCGGGAATCTATCCTTAAGGGGGTATTCCCAAGCCAAAGGTCCTCCAAAACAAAATTTTATTACTTGAGCACACATCAAATCTGATGAAAGGCTGAAAGGAAGATAAGACTCCAGCAATTGCTTTCTAAGGGGAGAAATGAGAAGCCCTAGGGTCGACGTCAGCATCCCATGCATTGGCTTCCATCCCATGAATGCTTTCCACCACCAAGTGCCACAAACTATCCTGTTCCAAAGGAAATCTCCACGACCACTTTCTTAACAAAGCTACATTTCTTAATCTGATATTGCCAATGCCTAGACCCCTAGCTTCCTTTTTCCTAGAAACTACTTTCCTCTTCATAAATGGTCATTTTTTTAGTCATTCGGTTCCCACAAAAAATCTCTCATGAGCTTTTCTAACTTATTGGCAACCTTGGTAGGAAGCTTAAAAGTAGATAGAAAATACATCGGAAGGTTGGCCAAAGTGGACTTGATTAAAGTGATTCTACCCCCTAGTGAGATATAATTTCTCTTCCACCTTGCTAGCTTCTTGGTGAATCTTTCTAAAACTGGGTACCAAAAGTTTTCTGTTCTAGGATTTCCCCCCAGGGGCAGACCTAAATATACTAGAGGCCAACCACTTACCTCACAACCTAATGCCTTAGCCACCAACTGCACTTCATCATCCTGTAAATTCACCCCCGTTACACAATTCTTGTTCCAATTGATTTTTAGATTGGAGTTCTCTCTAAATGCATCACAACCAATCTCAAACTGTCCATCTCCTCAATTTCCCCTTGACAAAAGAGAATGATATCATCCGCAAATTGTAGGTGAGTGACAATCACTTGTTGCCTCCCAACTCTCCATCCTTTCAGACTCTACACAACTCTCCATACTTTGGATAAGTTTCTCACTATTGATCACCTTTTCAGACTCTACACAAAAGAGATGGTTGTTGACCGCCTTTGCTTCCTTTATAGGCAGATCATTAAGTCAGTCCAGCATCTGCATCTTCACATATGGAGCATGGGCTCAATTTATGAACTTTGAAGCTATTTAATCAACAATGGAAAACTTTGGAAAACATTCCCAGGGTGATTTTATCATGGTCTGTAAAGGGTTATGAAAATTCTGTGGAATTTGTTACCATTTGGACTATGTTGGATAATTTGGACAGAGTGAAATACCAGGATTTTATTTTGTGCTTGGAAGGTGTTTTTCTTAATGTCTCTACCTCTAATTCTCAGGGGTTGATGCTCCTTTTTTTTGTGTGTTTTCTCATGTGCTTCACTGCTTCTTTCTTTAACTTCTTGACCTTTTTTAATCCAGTTTCTTGGGGTTTCCTGACCAAATCCATTTGGAATAGACCCATAGCACAAAAAATTTTGGCCTTTTTGGAAAGTAATTTATTTGGTGATAAACTCTTATGGAACATTGCAAAAGAGGACACCTAATTGGTATTTGTCACTAGGGATGATCATTTTCAGCGTGGCCGGGAAATTCCAGAATTGGACCTAGGTTTTGTGTTCAGGTGAGGCCTGACCCACAATATGTATAAATCCAGACTGTTTACCAAAGAAGTCATAGGTCCATAATTGTTTTTTTTCTCACAGAGAATCCATTTGACATTTAAATCTGCAACAATGGAAGATATTAGGGTTCTGTAGAGATTTGAGTTCTATGGCAGTCAAATTACACTCCTCTTAGCAAATACCTTGAAGAACAGTAAGTGCAATTGCATCAGCCACTTCTTCCATGGGACTGTTAGTGCATGTGTAGTAGTAGTGATGTTCTCCAAGTCTTTATTTGCAGAAAAGTTGAAAGATGGGGATTTGATTAATAATGGAGATTATTGGTTGCAGCAGGGGGAGGACAAATCAGGGCTTTGTTTCCATCAATTGGATTGCAGAGGCATTTGAGTTGGAATAGCTTTGGGGAGAGTTCATTGTCAAGGGATTATTACAACCAGCAGCTGAGGAGATTTACCAGTTGCAAGAAGATGGGTTTATGATTGGTGGCAGAGAGTTGAGGTTGAAAGCAATGGAAGCAGAAGGGGGGGGGGGGGGGGATGTACATGAGGAGATGTATAAGAGAGCAAAAAGACCCCAAACCAAAAATGCAAGTATTACAGGGGTAAAGTACTAGCAACTATACAAAAAAAATCCCTATTCGCCCCATATTTGGGAAGTGATCAACCACTGAACTCATTCCTCTTGGGATCCATCTAAAGGAGCAACTCAGTGTAGATGAGAGATCATGAATCTCATGAAGAAAGTGAGTCAATCTCCCTGGACCAAAATTCCTATTAACTGCCCAACTCTCATGAAGGATTGGGTCTTTTTTCTCTCTTTGGTTGTAGGTGGTTTTGTCTTAGTGATATTGAATCCACCTTCAAAACCTCCTTTTGCAATCCAAGAAACAAAAGGGGGTTTTTTTTGAGGTGTATCAGGACTGCTACAATCTGGGAAGAAAGAAATGCTAGCATTTTTAGCATTAAGAGATCATTCAAGGAGACTATCATTAAAAGATTTTTTATTAGATCTGTTATTGAGTTGGTGTCTGGCTGGGCTTAGTGAGAGTATGTTTGGAAGGTTGTTCCTG